TGTGGGGCTCAGATTTTGGCACAGGCAAGCTGCATCTCTCAACTCCGCAATTCATCCTTCCTATAACTTAGGCACAGAACTTAAGTCATGTGCTCATTGACATTGTATGCTTAACAGGGATTCCTAACTAATGAGAGAGGCTATGAAGATTAAATATCAAATGGATTTTTAAATAGTCAAGTATATAGTATATACTCAATGCAAAGACCCCGCTGATTTCTAGAGTCATGATTTGGTTTGAACTATGGACCAACCAGGTTAGAAGGGAACTTTGAATCTCTTAGCATGATCTTTAACATTCAGCATTTTATTTCAGACACAGACAAACTAATTTATCAGATGTGAAAAGTGAGAACCACAAGGATGAAATGGTATTCTATAGGCTAACCCCTAATCACTGCTGAGGCTAGAATGGACCTCTTGCACTTCCTTGTTCCAGAGTCCCCTCTCTTGGCCATATTATTGTAAGCAGATTTTAGAATGAGAAATCAGCAGTGTGACTTTAATAAGCTGAAAAAAATTACTCAACTGTGGAGTCTCTGGGGAAATAGAGGTTGGAGAGTGGAGGTGGAAATGTGCTAAAATAATAGATTCCTGCATCGATCCAGGGAGCAGTGCCGGGGAGCAGGAGATTAGTGGGATTTGTAAACTTGTTATTAGTATTTGCCAAAGATGTTTGCCATTGCCCATGGTCTTCCTTGGAATGTTGTCCTTTGCATATAAGATCACATAAAGCGTCCTTCCTTCCTTCTCCCAGAACGTTTGTTAACACTCTACACTGAACATCATGCCACAGTTGTAGAGACAGAGAACACAAAGCAAGATGTCACACTTGATTGAGTTATAGAGGAAAGGAGTTGGGTCCAAAACTAAAACTTGGGACAGATCTTGAATGAGTATTGAGCAAAATGTAGGGGTCTTGACTTCCATGCATGACGTTATTCAGGACGGGGTGCTATGACAGTTGCCATTTTAGTCACTCACTGTGGACCTGATATGATGTGACCATTTGTCACTTGGTACCCTGAACACAAAGAGACCCACCCATGTGATAAGATGAATACCCTATATTTTTAAGGAAAATATTGTCTACATGTGTTTGAGCTTTTTTTTTCCTTGGGGAGACGGTCTTTTGTTTTATTTTCAAAGGACCAATGACACAAAATGATGAAGGAAGAGAATTCATGGAGGATCCATGGGCATTGATGAAAATAGTCAAAAGATGAAGATAAGATAAGCAGCACTGTGGGACTGGAGATGGCAGTTATAGAGGCCATTAAGGAGCTAGGAAGGATAATAGTAGTTGACAACCAAGTGGAGAGAGAGAGGGGAGGGAGAGAGAGAGAGAGAAGAGGCAAGAGAGGATAGATGGATAGATAGATAGATACATAGATAGATAGATAGATAGATAGATAGATAGATTCAATGCCCTTTAATTCCCTAGATTGAGAAATGAATTGATTCATAAAGAATTAAATTCAGGGGAGACTATAAACTTGGTGAGTAGAGTTTAGCCCTGGCATTTATTGCTCTTTGTCATGTGATTGTATTAGAATTTCCTCCACAAAGCCAAGAACATGTACCAGGAAGTACAGCTTAGCTAATTTTCATTCCAGACCAAGGAGGACGAATGTGGTGATTGGAAAGTTGTCTTTCAAACACAATAGGGGATATTTTAAAATAATGTATGAATTTATACCTGACATTGAGGGACGTAGTCCTTCCTTTAAGTTTCAACCCTCACACTTGTCCCTTGTCTTCAGAGACAAAAGCGAAAATTCATAATGTATTAGGCTATTTTTATTAATGCTAGATATTGAAATACAAAGTGAAGAATGAACATAATCTAGGTCCATTATAAACTAGTTACAGAAACAATGTAGCTACTGCCTGGATATTCCCTTTTTATACAGACAGTTGGTGTCATAATGATATAGTTAAAGTTGTGTTAACGCCTTAGTTATAAAAAGTATTAATCTCTAAAAATAAGATTTTGAGTAAATACTGTAGGCCAGCCTTATCTCTGTCCAAATATGAGCTATTCCAGGTGATTAACATATCTTCATTTCACCAAACCCTGTGAAGTAGGATTGTCATCCCTGTTGCACCAATGAAGGGAATGATAACAAAGAAGCTAAGTGATAACTGTGCCCAGTGAATCGAAATTAGGAAGGTCCAGATCACTTCTCTTCTTAACCCCTGACATTTTAAGGCCTCATCTGAACTTCTGGTTTATTTGTCCCATTCATCTGTGGAGTGCCTATCCTATCACACTGTCCTTGTATTCACCTTTGCTCCAAGAATCTTCTGCTCTAATATTGCTCTTCCCAAGACCTGTCTTGTTCCCTCCTGACTTCCATCCATCTCAATCAGGAAAACTGAACTCTTGAGCCTAACCCCTTTCACCTCTGTTCCAGGGTCATTGATGGTGGACTTGCTATGTAGTTGATTTCCAGTCAAATCTCAGGCTCTCTATTTTAGGTGGTACCCCATAATTTTCCCCCAAACTTTGTCATATCTTCTTAGTCAATCATCTTTCTCATCACACAAGACAACCCCAGGAAAAGCCTTATTTCTCAAACTCCCTACCCTCTACCTCGTCTCATTATTGTTGGCAACTTTGCTTCTCGTCCATATGTGGAAACTGTGCAGCCTAAAGAGATGTATGTGTTTATACATGTATTATAACATTTACCAGCCTAGCCACTCCACAATACACAGACACCCTCATGCTTGTCATACTAATCCTCTACAGCTCATCGCCTACCGTTCTCTGGGAGCCAGTGCCTGTAGTAGTACACCTTCCCCTTGTGTGTCCCGATGTCCATATATTCTCTCTCTGTCCATCACTTCCACAAGCAGACAAACACCTTGTCCTGCTTCTCACCCATAAAAATAGGAATCCACCCACATCCTCACTCAGTTCTCATTCTCTCATGTTTCCTTTTTTAAGCAAAATTTCAGACAAGAATTGTCTGTTCATGTATGGTCTTTCCGCTTACAACTTTTCTCTATTTCCATCTATCTCTACTTCCCCTCTATCTCTCTATCTCTGTCTCCATCTCTATACTATCTATCAGTTAACTATCTATCTATCTATCTATCTATCTATCTATCTATGTATCTGTCCATCTATCTCTCTATCATCTATCATCTATTTATCATCTGTCATCCATCTGTCTGTCTGTCTATCTATCATCTATCTATCATCTGTCATCTATCTACCTATCATCTATTTATCATCTGTCATCCATCTATCTGTCTGTCTGTCTATCTATCATTCTATCATCTATCTACAATCTGTCATCTATCTATCTATCTATCTATCATCTATGTATCTATGTATCTATCTATCTATCTATCTATCTACCCATCTATCCATCTATCACAGTCCTGCTGCCTGCTGCTAGGGAAATACTAGAAGCTCTATTCTCTACCCTCCCTCAGCAATACTCTGGCCCCTGGGGTCATATGTTCTGGATTTTTCTTCTCCGCTAGTCACCCATTCTTCACAGGGTGTGCCTCTCAAGCCCAGCTCTCACCCGGATTGATGCGGCTCTACACTACCTCCATCATCATCATCCATTGATGGATAACACAACTGCCAATTCCCAAATTTCTATCTCTTCTCCTAATGTTTCCCTGTGATATCAGACATCAGGATGCTTCTCAAATGTCCATAATTTATCTTATATTCACTCACAGCTAGAACAGGGCTATCCATTTTCTCTTGTCCCCCTACGATACACTGATCCTTTTCAAAACTTAGAAATCACATTTATTTCTCTTTTCTTCTCATTTCCTAAACCTGACACAGGAGCAGGTCTCGACACCTTCATCTTAGTCCTGACCTCATCCCTTCCATCATTGGGTGCCTGAGCCATTGTTCCTCTTGTTTGGATTACAAATGTCTACCAGTCTTATTCCTTTTAATCTTCTCTCTTCTTCCAGGCCGGTTCTCCAGTCAGTGCTAGTGTTCATGTTAAGAACATTAGCATTGTGTTTCCTACCCTTTAAATGTTTCCAGATGCTTCCGTTATAGCAAGAACGAATTCAAAGGTTTACCAGGTGCTACCTGATCTGGCCGTTGAGTGTCTTTCTGTCTTATTCAACCACCTTCCCCTTTGGTCAACCCTGCTCTGTCTACCCCGGCTTCGTTTGCTTTTGGTGTTTGTTTTGTTTTCTTCCAACACGCCAGACTCACTGCTGCCCCTGGCTCCACACAGCCAGTGCTCTTGGCCCCGATACAGAGCCGAGTCACTAAGAAGTACAGAACCTTTCAAAGGCATAGAACCTCAGAGTTAGAAGCGCTGGGTCTCTTCCAAGGTTCATGAACTTGCCCTGTTCTGTAGAGCAACTGACCACGCTGAGAACTCTCCCTGTCGTCACCAATGTCCTTCCCTTTGAAATCTGTTTCTTTTTAAAGAATAACTAATTACTTTGTGTTCTCACTGTTTTGATCCACAGTGGCTCTCGTTAGATATAATAATGGCCTAACTTCTGCTGTAGCTCACACTTCTTTTTACCCGCCCCTCCCCCTGCCCTGTACAAACTCCCCAAGGATGAAGTGGAACAGAGGAAAGACGGGATGGAAAGGGGGTAAAATGTTAGTGACAGAGGAATTCGGACCCTTTTTCTGTGGTCACTGCCATCGATCCGCCCTGAGTTTCCTCAGTTACCCTGCAGCCTTTCTGGGGCAGCCCCCAGGGACCGTTACACTGAACTCTCGTCCCCTGGCGACGCCGCCGTACACACCAGTTGCTGTTCTAAAACGGACAACTGGTGGTGACTCCACGCCTCTGCTCTGAAGCCTTCAATGGCTGCCTCCACCAGGAGCACGAAGACCAGTCTCCTTGAGCAGACAACCCAGCCTGCATCACCCAAGCTTTCTTTCATCATTAGCTCCAACCACTGTATCTCCTGCACTTCCTTTACCCTACCTACCGACCGCCGCCCTTCCCCAGACATCCCCACCACAGCTGCTCAAGTGTCCTGCTCACCATCTTGCCTCTCTGAGGCCTTGGCTCGTGCTGCTTCTGATCTGAGTGCCCTTACATCGCTGGTCTTTGTAACAAGGAGCAGGTGACGCCTGGTCTGTGCACCCTGGGAGGGGGTGGGCGTTCCTAGGCAGTCATTTTCTTAGCCAATATCTGGGGCATCTTGCGCATGCCCCAGTTAGAGACCTCCCCAGCGTCAGAAGGGTTGTTTATTGTTGCCATTCTGCTGGATTCTGAGCTCTTGATGGACAAGAATTGTGTCTTATTGTTTCTGTTCTCTATGGAACGCAGTTCAGAACTGGGCACGCGGTAGTCACTGAAAAGGTGTTGGATGAATGAGTAACGAGTGGATGTGACTGGCATGCTGGCAAGGCGAGAGCAGCCTCCCCAAAGAATATTTTAATGGATTCTCATCTGCCACCGCCTCAACCACGCCTCTTCCAATCCGACTGATATTTCACAGACTTTACAATAATCTCTCCCCAGGGTTCAGGAGACCAATTACTCTTGCCAGGCTCCTTCTGGCAGGCCCTGCCCCTGGCTCTCTAAAGGGCCTCTGGAGCCATCTATGAGGTCCCAAACATGAACACATGCTAGGGGGTTTCGCAGCCGTTTGTTTATCACAGTGAGCTCCTTCTGAACGCTACACACAATGGCTTCTAGATTCCGAGGTGCTTTATGGATAGTGTAAGATAGATGGCATACATCATATGGAAAGAACTCTTTCCAATTTATCATAGCAAATTGCACCTTTGCTTTAAAAATAATTTGATTCTAAAAGTCAATTAATTGAATGAGAAAAAATTAAGTTCACGAAGCACTGCGGGTGGAAAAAACCGGTGGCAAGTTACCCAAATGAGCAATGACTGGGAAATCGCTGATTTCATTCATTTAATCATTCACTCGTGTATTCATTCATCAAATGTTTATGGCACCTGACATCCCAGACCCTAGTTAGTGCTAGTGTGAGTCAGGTGATGAGTACTTTGTCTTGGACCCTCTCTTTAAATTTTAGAATGTTTCTCCAGGCACTGTGTGCCTCCAGGAACACTCACACTGAGGGGGATTCACAGGCGGGGTGAGAATGGTCTGATTTCTTTCTGTACAAAGGAGAAACTATATGTATATGCATGAAAACATGTGTGTGTGTGTGTGTGTGTGTGTACACTCATGTGAGTATGGGCTGGACTTACAGTTTTTGTTTCTGACCAACAGAAGACACCAGAAAGTGAGTGTGCATGCACACACACACCCACACACACACACAAACATACTCTTGGAATACATGCATGAGATACACATGCACAAGCAGACATATGTAGAATTGTTAAGCAATATTATAAGGTAAATAAATAGGCCTGCAAAATGCTTTGTTGAAAGACAGGTAGTAATAGGAGAACTGACATCGACGGCTATCATAATTACAATTTCTGTTTCATCTCTACCTCTTAGACCTCCAATTTTTCTCTATAAAATGAGAGGACTGGATAGGATCAGCAACACACAGTAAGTTGCTGTGTTTGAAGACTTTTACTGGAGAAATGTAGAGATGAAAATTCTGACAGAAAAATCCTAGTTGATCAGGAAAAGGTTTTGGGTGGTTAGGTCATGTCTAAGATCCATCTGGGAGGAGAGACTGAGTGATTAACTGTGTCTGGTATAAGAGGGAGAAGGGGGACTGGTTTCTTAGTTACTTTTCTATGACTGCGGAGAGACAACACAACCAAGGCAACTCACAGAAGAAAGGATTTATTGGGGGTACAGTTTCAGAGGGTGAGTCTGTGGCCATCATGGCAGGACACATGGCAGCAGTCAAGTAACAGGTAAATTTGGTGCTGTGGAACTAGTTGAGATCTTATATCCATAAACATGAGGCACACACACACACACACACACACACACACACACACACACACACACACCACACTGAGGGGGCAGGGCATGGGCTATGGAAACCAAATCCTATCCCAGTGTGTATATCCAACATGACCACACCTCCTCTTATCCTTCCCAAACAGTTCCACCAACCAGAGACCAAACATTCAAATATATGAGCCTATGGGGGCCATTCCCATTCAAACCAACGCAGAAAGGGAGCACCATTGACACACTACACTTAGTGTTTCTGAGTTCAGCTGTGTTTTCCTAATGTGTAACAAGTAAACACGGCACTGGTGGCAGACTGGCAATGGGAGGGGTTATCTTCTGTTCTAACAAACACACAGGACATGTGGTGGGCAGTCTCTCAGCTGCGCTCCCTTCCCACCGTGATTCCTTTCTGTTCACGCCTTTGTGTGATTCTCTCCCTTGCCTGTGGGCTGTATCTATCTTTTTACTTCTGACACATAAGATATAGGAGAAACAGTAGGCTGTTATTTCCAAGGTTATTTTACACCAAAGTGTAATACTACCTCCCCCCTTCTTTCCTTTCTCCCTCTCCCTACTGCCTTCCTTTAAAATGTTCAAGAAAGAGGTCTAGAAGGCAAGGAAATCATGTCACCGACCAGCAAGCAACAAGGACCTGAGACCTTCCAATGGCCCTGTGAGTGAGCTTGGAGATGGCTCCTCCCCCAGGGAGTCCTGTGTCAGCTGATGTATTGATCGTATCAACGTTTGATGTGTTAAATAAGAAACATCTTGCAAATGTGACCTGGATCTCTAACCCACAGAAGCTGGGTCTTAAGTGGATTTTATGCAGGTGTTCTAAGTGGGATTCAGAGTCTTGGTATGTGACTGTTAAGTGAAAACGAAAAACCCAGAACTCCAGGTCTGCTGAGCACCAAGGTGAATCTTGACCATTGATATGTTGACTAAAATCCACACTTTGAATAGGAAAGGTCACTTCAAGCTCTGATCTGTGTCAACACCCTCTTAACATGTAGATAACTAGAGACCAAGGATGTATATGTTCTATGGTGAAGCACTGTGGTAATTGACTCAGACTTTTTTTTTAGACAAGATCTCATTATGTGATCCTGGCTGACCTGAAACTCCAAGACATCCTCCTGCCTCTGCTTCCCAAGTTCCACCATGCTTGGCTGGCTCAGACTCCTTTTACTGCCACAAATAACAACTTGAAGTTATTTCTATTTTTAAAATTTCTTCTAAAGCTTTTACTTCTCCCCTTCATCTCCTCCTTCCCACCTCCCCATCTCCTCTTACTCCATGTTCCGTCTTCCGCTTCTACTTATGCCAAGCTGAGCTACTGCCAACACAGAAGTTAAGAGGCTTACCACTCATCTCACAGAAGCAGTCTGACCACAGACATGCCACCTTTTATCCTTTGCTTCCCTCGTCTACAGAATGGGGCCATTATTGCTCCTTCATCCACAAAATAGTTGGCGGTTAACCAGGCCAATGTATCTGCAGTCATTACAACAGTGTTAGCACATGGTCTATACTCAGGGGCAGCAGACAAATGACCAAAGCCCTTCTCAAAGATTTATTAGAAGAAATCCCTAGACCCTAAATTGCTGAGACATAGGATTACGGGACCTTCTCTGCTTTTTCCATAAACAAACTCCCACAAGCATGTGCTGATTTTAGCCAGGCACTAGTGCTAACCTTAAGGTCTCTCTCCACCTAATGCAGCACTGAGAGGCAGGACGGAGGATGAATTTGTGCCTGTGGCCTGGTGTTGCCTTGGCGCTGAGCCGCTGGGCTTGCCTCTGACGACTGGCAGCCAGACTCTGCCGGGGGTCGGGCAGGCACTGCGAAGACCACCCTGCAGGAGCGTCAGACAACAAGCAGACCCTGGAGAGAAGTCAAGGAGGAATGCGATTGCCTCGGACTCTGGACTTCTCTGTCAGGAAGATTCCTAGGGACATGAAGAGAGACATGCTGCTTAAATGGTTCCATGAGTGAGCTACATCCAGGGATTTGTAGAATAGAAGGGTGATCATGCTATGGCCAGGCAGGGTTCCTGACAGAAGACTTTCATGGAAGGACCAAGGAGGGCCAGAGAACGCGGAGCAGGCCCAGTCATTACCTCCCTGGTGCTTTCTGACCCACATTCACAGAAGCCTGCTCCCCTTTCATCTTCTGCGAGGGACAGTAATAGCTCCGTTCTTTTTAGTAGACAGAGAAGATCCGGGTATCTGAAGGACTTAAGAATGACTGATGTGCACGACTACAAGGAATTCAACACATGCTGACAAAACCCAACTTTCCCAAAGTACCCTACCCACTAGTTCCTCATTGCTTCCCATTTAGCAGTGGTTTGAGACTTTTTTTATGATTTCTTAGTGTATAAGCCAGGCTACTGGCTGAGGCTCCTATTGGCAGTGATGGAAGCCAAGGCCAGGATATGATAACAATGATGAAAAGAGTGGGATACTCATATTGTTGGAATATATCAATTCAAGAGAGACTTTCCTCTATTTTTCCCAAGACATCTGTTTGCTATGGATATAACTATCCCCATTGTGCATCACAGGGCGGGGGGGGATGGGGAGTAACTGTTGTGCCCATAGTCTCCCCATTTCCTTAACTCCCAACAGGAATTTAAATTCCTGTTCCACAATCTAAGTTCTTGGACATCAACTCTAAAAGGGGCTTTTCATGCCTGGTATTGGGAGGTTTGTTAGCATATGACTCTTGTGGAAAGCGCTGTCAGCCTAGATGGGATTTTTATATCATGTTTTTATGTGTGTAGACATAGGTGTGTTATATGCAATTTTAGATAGATATAATATTATTCCCTACGATATTCAGATATTTCAGATATTCACTCTACCTTCTTCCCTCCCTCTCCTTCTGCCTTGACCTCCTTCTCCTCTCTAAGCAAAGTCACCCCCACTTTCCCCTTCAATCATTTGTACCCTGCTTTCCCCTCTCTGGAAGTGCGTTGTGGGATATTTGTACATGGTGTGAAGATGTATTGCTACAGTTGGTATAATAAAAAGCTGAGCGGCCAATAGCTAGGCAGGAGAGATAAGCGGGACTTCCACGCACAGAAAGGAAGAGGAGATAATTGAGGTGCACGGGAGATGCACGGGTATGAGTTGGACACACAGGATGGGAGACAGGTAAAAGCTACATGGTAAAACATAGATTAATAAAAATCATTGATTAATTAAAGTTATAGGAGCAAGTGGGACAAGCCTAGGCTAAGGCCGAGTTTTCATAATGAATAGTAAGTGTCTGTGTCATTATTTGTGAGTTGGTGATCCACAGGAA